GGAAATGCGTGGCCGGGCCGTATCCGGATACGGCGTCCGCCGAAAACAGAAGAAATGAAACGGAATATAGTTTCAATTGATAAAAAAATAGAACGCAGATGCACTCGAGCTGTCGTCGTTTAGTTAGCCTCGTCGTCGTCAGATGCACTCGAGCTGTAGTCGTTTAGTTGGCCTCGTCGTCGTCGGCGTCTTCCGCGTTCAAGTCCTCCACGACGTCTTCAAGGGTCAAGTCGTCCAAGTCCGAAAGGCCCACATCGTCGTCCCCCTCGTCCGCCGCCACGACAGCTTCTTCGTCCACGTCCAATGAGTCGAGGACGTCGTCCACGTTCACATCGTCCAAGTTGAGAAGTTCCTCGGCGTCATCGTCGTCGCATCGTCTTGCGCCGAAGCTAGGAGGATAACGTCATCTTCACCGTCCTTCTTGCCATGGAACCAGTCGCTGATGGTCTTTGTGCCGTTCTTGATCTTGTCGGTCCACGAGCCTTCGGGCGACGCAACGGCAGCGTCGTCCTCGGTGTCATCCGATCCAAAGATCTTGTCGAGGAGGCTCTTGTCGTCATCGTCATCCTCAGCGTCCTCGGCGTCTTCGGCGTCGTCACCGTCGGCATTCTCAGCTTCCTCGAAGTCATCAACGTCCTCTTCGGCGGCTTCGACCACGACGACTTGGACGTCGCCTTCGTCACCGTCCTTCTTGCCATGGAACCAGTCGCTGATGGTCTTGGTACCATTCTTAATCTTGTCGGTCCACGAGCCCTCGGGCAACGCAACGACGGCGTCGTCGTTGTTGAAGAGCGTGTCAATGTCGTCGGCGACCGTGCCTGCAAACGCCAACGCGGCCTTTTCGGCCGCGTTTAGGTCGTCGACCGACGCCACAACGGCCATGAGCTGGTCAATGGCGGTCTCGGCCTTGGTGAGCAAGACATCGGCTTCAACCGCCGCGCTCTCGTCGGCGCTGGCGAGCCACTCGGACGAGTCCTCGTCTTCGTCATCCCCGCTGTGGTCCAGGATGTCGCTCCACGATTGCGTGGGCTCGACCGCAGGGACCTCGGCGACCACGTCCACCGTCGGCACCTTCTCAATGACCGAGTTGGCCTAGCACAGAAAAGTCGCGAGCCCATAATGCGTTCAAAGAGTACCTGGCCCGCGGCGCGGAGGTACCGGCTGTCCTTAGCGGCCGTGAGGGCGCAGATGACAAGGAGCGAAAAGAAGGACGTCTTCATGTTGATGGCGAGGCGAGGCGATTTGTAGAATGAGCTGACAATGCCAACGCGAAAGGCGCCAAGAGTCGAATCTTTTTGAGTTTCGAACTCGAACATTGACTGCAAAACACGCCAACGAAGGGTAAGAGGCGTCGATGAACAGTCGAGGGGCGCGGGGCTCGAAGGTTAAGCTGAATGGCTTGGCGACTGCCGACGCGTCGGCTGTGGCACCTGGACCGTGAATCAATATTTCTACTAACGGCAGCGATGAGCGAACTACTTAACATAGCTTGTTTCTGGCATCCAGTAAGTACGACAGTTCTCTCTCATGGTCAACGTCTTGTACGGCAGTGCGACGGACGCAGAAGCAGCAGGCACCGAAGTTCATGGGGTCGTACAAGGTCAAGCGGTGGGGAAGTGCGTCTCAAGAGATTTCTCAGCAGACTAGAAAAAATAGCTCTGAGGTGTCGGCAACTCCTGCAACATCCACTCGGTTGCTAATTGAGCCGGGCGAACGACCAGACAATCAACCCCCGCGCATACCGTCAGAGGGTACTTGGAGCAGTTGACGCATATTGGTGGGGGGCGTTGTTGGCGTGCAGCGATGAAAGAGAATATTCTTGGCACTTTCTCACCTTGCATCAACGTAGCATCAACTTTAATACGGTACTAGCCCCGAGAACTTGCCGTCGCTACCCACGATGTCTACCGACGAGACTCTAAAATGTTAGTTTAGGAAAGCGTGGGCGTTGAAGGGTTACCTTGCAGCGCCGACGGCCTCAACCGTCGTGCAAGCTACATCCTTGATGCGCATTCTGTCAGCAGTGCCACTGCAAATTGCATGCACTATCAATCAGCGGTCCACCTAAGAACTGAACGAACTAATCGCTGTGGACACAGCTGCTTGCGGCGACTTTACTACATTTTAGACGGCTACTTTTGGTGATGACGCAGCATGTATGTCGCTGCAAGGTGCCACTCTGCAGCATGCCGGCGGCGCGACGAAAACTGGCTCCTCGCGCGTGCCAGCACTGCTCGGCCATGAACGTTTGATGCGGGTGCAAGCTGTGCAAGCGCTGCTTGGGGTCGTCTTATTTTCGGCATCGCGATGCTGGTGCATGGCACATGCCACTCGAATCTGGCAGCCAACGTGGCGGCCAACGGCATCTGGTCGTTTCACTTTTCACGCGGCGGCTGGTTGAAGCTCTGATCGGTTGATGGCATTTCAGCTATATTAATAAAACATCGCACCCATTGTACATACAGTCATCTTGATATTCAATTCGAAATCTAAAAAAAGACCTTGTGGTTTAAGCGACGTCGCTTTATTATTTCCTTGGCGATTGAAAAACACGGTAATAATATTCCATTCCAAACGCCATTTGCCTACAAAACATAGGCAATATCTCGCGTTGGCCGTTGGAAATTGAATTAAAAGACACGACCACGTCCAATAAAATGACACCGACCACAAGGGTCAGGCAGTCATTTGTCACCGGGTGATTGAGGTCAAGCGCCCGCCCGACCCGTCGCCGCCCGTCGCTCATCATGGTCGCTGCTTGGAAGAGGCTGCTCCTCGCCGGCGCCGCCATCGTCGCGGCCTACGAATGCCCCAACTCGTGCGGGACGCCATCAGGCCTCGGCTTTTGCCAGTACATTGACTTTCCCACTTGCCGCCTCCAAGAGTCCTGGGACGACCAAGACGTCCTCGCCGCCAAGGCCTTCATGGCGCTCGTCGCGCCGGCCGCCAACTCGACGTACCTCGACGAAGACGGTCATTTCGCCGGTTTTGACAACGTGATCGCGACCAAGCACGAGTTTTTGCTCAACACGACGCACGAGTGCCACGTGCTTCTGCGACGCATTCAGTGTGGCCTGCACTTTCCCATCTGCGAGATTGGCAGCGAGTTTAGCCGGATGTGCTTCAAGTCGTGCCGCGACACGGTCAAGCTCAAGTGCCCGGAGCTCACGGGCATCTGCAACGACGAAGACCCGGCGCTCTTCGAGTCCGACAACAAGTGCTTCCAAGTGAGCTACAGCGGGCCCGCCGTCGGCATGTGGATCGCCGGCTTTTCGATCTCGCTCGTCTTTTCAATTCTCAACTCGGTCGGCATCAACCTCCAAAAGTACTCGCTCACACAGAACGAGAAGCTCGGGTCGCAGAAAGGGTCGTTCCAGCAGCCCATGTGGGTGCTCGGCCTCGTCTTCGTGTGCCTCGGCTCGATCCTGGACTTTGTGGCCTTTGGCATGGCGCCCCAGACGCTCCTCGCGCCGCTCGCTGCGCTCTCGCTCGTGTGGAACATGCTCATCGCGCCCTTCTTCCACAAGGAAAAGGTCACGCGGCGCAACCTCGTCGCCACGTGCATCATCTTTTTTGGCGTGACGCTCACGGTCATCTTTGCCGGCCACTCGACGCCCGCGTACGACCTCGAGGACCTCATCAAGCTCTACCAGACGCCGGTCATGTACTTTTACATTGTGAGCATCCTCCTCTTCCTCATTACGCTCTTCGCGTCGACGCGGTACATTGAGACCAACCACTTGTACGAAGACGGCCTCTTCCACATCGTGTGCTACGGCGGCATCGCCGGGACCTTTGGCGGCCAATCGGTGCTTCTCGCCAAGTCGACGGTCGAGCTCCTCAAGTCGGCAATCTGGGGCGATGGCGCCGATGCGTTCAAGCACCCGGCCACGTATGCGATCATCTCGGGCCTCGTCGTCTGCCTCCTCTGCCAGATTACCTTTCTCAACGGCGGTCTCAAGCGGTTCGACGCGCTTGTCGTCATCCCGGTCTACCAAAGCTTTTGGATCCTCACGAGCGTGCTCGGTGGCATCATGTACTTTGAAGAGTACATTTCGATGACGCAGACCGAGATGGTCATGTTCACCATGGGCGGCGTCGTGACGATTTCAGGGATTATCTACCTCCTCCAAGACACGCAGAGTTCCGGCGCGCCCAGCGGCAAGTACCTCGAACTCGCCCACGTACAATCCATCGATGTCGTCGTATACCGTGCTGATATTGGTGATATGGACTAGGCCGCGACACCCTCCGATGCATGGAACGCCGACGACTCGGACGAAGAGGTGCACCAGCAGCAGCTCGACGACGACCTCGAGGACCCGCATGGATCGCCGACGAACCGCCAGACCCAAGTGTCGCCAACCGACGGTCTCTTCAACGACGGCGATGCGACCAAGAAGATCAAGCCCGTGACCAGTCCTCGAAGCGAGTTCATTTGAGCGCGCGCCACCGATCCTAGTCGGTCTACAGCTCGTCGTATAATATATCTTTCTACATCACGACGCTTCTAGCTGGCCGGTCGAGTGAGGACTCGGTTGAACGAGCGACTCGGTCAAGGGTCCAACACCAGTTGCTGGACCCTTGGTGCTTGGTGGCAGTGGTGATAGGCTCATCATGTCGCAGACATATTTTTATTGCAATGTTTTATGTTGATGGAATCTTTGTATCGAAGACGATGAAACCCATTGAATGGGCCTCCGATAGGTCGATCCTTGCACTTTGTAACCATGCCACCGCGGGCGCTCGGCGGCGTCGCGCTGGCAGCTGTGGCCTTGGTGCTGCTCGCCGTCCTGCAGCGCCACGAGGCCACCGATGGCCTGCTCACGATTACGCAGACGGGCGCTTGCATCTCGGTGCTGAGCACGCTCGGTATCATTGGCAGCTACCGCTACTCGAGCGACGGCCGGTTCCGGCGCCACCCCAACTCGCTCTTGTACTGGAAGGCCATGACGGACTTGGCCTACTCGCTGCCATATCTGCTTGGCTACGTGGCCAACGAGACCGCGCTGGTGTGGATCGTGCTGCCGCACAGCTTGGCGTACAGCTCCGAGTGCTGGTTCTTCCTCATGGCCTACGACTTGTACAAAAGTGGCACCAACCCGTTCACAAACACGGCGACGCGCCTGCGCTGGTACCATGCGCTTGCATGGGGCGTCGGCCTCGTTGCCGCGATCGCGCAGTGGTATGTCATTCCTGCCTACGCGCTCCAAGCCGTCGAGGACGACGACAAGTCGGCGATCCGCGTTGTCTACTACCTCTTTGTCATTCTCTGCGTCGCGTCAGCGGCTGTGTTTATCGTGCTCGAGAAGCTCTCGCAGCCGCTCGGCGGCATCACAGAGGCGCTCAAGACGCGGAAAGCGATGCTGATCGCCGCGCGCACGTACACGACGGCCTACGTCATCTACCAGCTGCTCTTGATCGTGCTCTGGGTGCTGCTTGCCTTCGCATGGCCGAAAGGTACAGTCGAGTGTGCGCGGGCGCGGTTCCTCGCCAAGCTCCTCACGGGCGCGCGCGGCTTTATGGACCTCGTGCTGTGGTTCTCGATCAACCGTCGGCGGCCAGCGTCGCGCCGGTCGGCCTCGTCGAGCTCGAGCGACCTCGACGTCGAGCTCCATCCCGAGCTCAATGTCGCTTTGCGAAAAGAGGTGCTGCACTTTACCACGCGTGGCATTGTGGCTGCGTCGCTCCACTCGCACCAGATTCTGGATGCCGATCATCAGTACCGCGTGCTCATCAACTTGCACGAGCTGGGCATGCACATCCAGTACGCCTTCTGCTTGACTCTTGGATGTGGAGAACGATATATCCGTAGGTTCTACGACTACAAGCCGCGCGCGTTCCGGGACATTCGGTCGGGCTTTGGCGTGCGCGAGTCGGCATACCGCGCGTCGTTCTTGGCCACGTGCCACGAGCGCATTGCGTCTGGCGGGTCGTCCGGCGCCTTTATGTTTTACACGGCCGACTACGTCTTCATCGTCAAGACCATCACCAAGGACGAGCGCCGCGTGCTGTTGGCCATGCTGCCGGCGTACATCCGGTACATGAAGGCGCATCCGGGCAGCCACCTCACGCGGTACCATGTCGGTCTCCACGGCGTGTGCCAATATGTACTGTGTGTAGGTACTATGGCTGCCACGCAATACAGATGTACGGGCAAAAGTTTCATTTCCTTGTCATGGGCAACGCCATGGGCAAGGTGAGCATGCACCAGTTCTTTGACCTCAAGGGGTCGTGGATCAACCGCAATGCCAAGGTACTCGTATGTCCTTTTGCGATACTTATATTTGTATATGCTAGCCGACTCCGCCCGGGCAAACTCGGATCTGTACCTACTGCAACGAACCCTTCAAGGTCGGGTCGAGGTAGACCAATCTGCGCTCCTGTAGACACGAGAGATATACGAAGCGTGACGTAGCCAACCGTGCGAGTTTAGTATCCACGGCGTGCACTTGCCGCACCAAGTGCTTCGAGACAATGATTTCCAGCGGAAAATGCGCCTCCCGGCCGAGACAGGTCGTTGACACCGACGCGTCACGACTCATCTATATTTGATCTAGTCGCGACCATCCTCGCGCAGCTCAAGAAGGACAGCGATTTCCTCGCCGACCAAGGCATTATGGACTATAGTCTCTTGCTCAGCATTCACTGCGCGCGCTTCAACGTCGACCCCCACACCATTCGGTTGACGCCCAAGACACCGCAGCACCACTTTGCATCGGTGACGCGGCACGCGCCGACGTGCTACTTGACGCCGAGTCAGCTGGGCCCGATCATGTCGCCCATTACACTCGAGAGCACGCTGGACGATGTACGTACGCCATCATCACGATCCATGCGATCTTGTTGTGCTCATCCATATACGCGCGGCGTAGGAAGAGTCGAACGTGCTCCAGAGCCGCGGCTGCCGCTTCTCTGTTTACGTTGGCGACGACGACGACGTCGAGACACCACTGTTTCGCAAGTCGTCGGTCGAGTTTGGGACGTTTGAGACTCTCGGCATCGACGACGTCGACGAGAATGAGGAAGGCAGCGTGTCCCGGTCCCACACCTACCACGATCTGCCGTGGGCGGGGCAGCGCACGTTCGATATGAGCGGCTACAAGGCGTGTGCAGTCGTCGGCCCTGATTACTATACATTTGGCATCATCGACATGCTCCAGACGTGGACGTGGCAGAAGCGCGTCGAGCGCTGGTGGAAGGTCCACGTCCTGCAGCGTGACGGCAACGGGATTTCGGCCGCGCCGCCACCGTACTACGCGACGCGGTTCCAGTCCAAGATGGAGTCGATCATGACCGTTGGTCACCACGCGGTTGGCGTGCTCTAATACGCTAATCCGTGTCGAGTGTTTGTTTGTTTCCCTTGATTTTCAATGCTCTTTTCGCCGTTTTTCAGTGCATTTATTGTCTTTTTCGTATTATCATTTTCTGTACAATGGTACTATTTGGAACCGCTCAGACGATGTGGGCGCTCAAGGCCGCGTACTCTTCGAGCCACTGCAATGCTTGGAATCCATTGTGGACGATCGGGGCGTACTCCATGTCGGTCGAGCCAGCCATCGGGTCCGAGAGTGCGAGCAGCGCCGAGACGTGCGATCGCGCAACCCTCGGAAAGGCATTCTACTCGATGACGTTGTCATCCTGACATGGCCTGCGATAAGATTCTGTGTGTACCTGGACGGCCTCGGCGATATCGTGGCGGGAGAGACACCCGCGCTCGCCGTCGTCGACAGCTTCAAACGCTGTCGTGAGTGCATTCTACTTGGTTGAATGAGCACATAACGTGGGCGGAGATGAATGCACGACCGAAAACTCGTGCTGGTTCATGCCATGGACAACAAAATACTCCTCCGAGCTGCGGTAGATGCGCGCGGCGCCCGCGAGCTGCGTCTGCGTGTCGTAGTCGATCATGCGCAGCACCATGGGCGCAATCCGCTTGGCAAAAGCTTCGTAGTTGACAGCATCTTCCTCTTCCTCGACGGCTTCGGAAAGGAGCGCGATGATTTGGATGCGCGTGAGCCCGAGACCCGCGAGGCACAAGGTCGTCTTGAGCGCGGCAAACGAGAGGAGGCCCGTCCCGTCGTCGTCACCACTGCTTTTAGTATGAGGTGTCGACGACCAAGACCAAGTGTGTCGTGAAGAGGTACCTTGCAAACACCTTGTTGAGCTGGACTTCGACCACGTCTTCGCTGCGTGGCGTCTCGAGAAGGTCGTTGGCGTGCGCGTACAAGAGTGCGTTAAAGATGGTCGGGATCGTATCCGAGTAGATGACAATGTTGTCGACCGTCTCGGGCACTTGAAACAATATCAAGTTGATTTCTCGGCGCGTCAAGCCCAAGTCGCCGTCCTACATACCATGAAACACGGAAAAGCTAGACGGTACCGACCTGGAGACAGCCCATAAAGACGTGGCGCGTCACCGAGCCCGTATTGTCGGCGTCAATGTGGTGCAGAATATCGCGCAAAAGACTCTCCATCTCTTCCCGCAACAGCCCATGCAAGAGCGCGTCCGTGTCCTCGTTGATAGGCACTTCGATGCCCGCATTGGCATCGTACAGCGGAGAATCGATACTCTACCGAATGATTGACTTGATAGAATCTGCAGAGCTTACGTACCTTGCGTTTCTTGAGCGTCGTGATGACGCGCCCGGCGGCCGTCACAAAGTCTATGCCGCCTCTGTCGACGCCGATTCTTATTGTCAATCAGAATACCCGAGTAGGCCACGGAGGCGTTCTCGAGCTCGTCGACTTCGGCAGCGCAGCGCAAACGAGCGACCGGGTTGAGCTTGAGGTACTCGACCATGTCGGAAAAAGCCTACGCACCTTTGAGGGATGGCGGGGCGACTTCTCATACCTTTTTAAAGTCGGCAATGTCAAGGTACCCGACGTTCGGCGGGTCCGCCGCGCGGAACGTCTGCCAGAGAAAGTCGTCGATCTCTTCGTCGGCCATGGTCATAAACTTTTCGGTCGCAAACGTTTGGCCGTTGTTGATGCCCGCGCGCTTCTCGGCGAGGTCCTTAAAGTACTTGATGCCGTACTGCAAAATGTCTTCGCGCGTCTTGAGCTTCTCTTGCTGCCGCAGCACTTCGCGCGCAAAGTTGCGCAGCGTATCGGGAAACCCATCAGGCACCTTGATCGTCTTGGCATACCGTGATGCCATCCTGGTTCGATCGGGCTTTGAACCGTCGCGAGCTACGGGTCGCACCTCGTCTTTTTCTAACCGACTATGAAACGGCCGTGCTCTATCGGTTATAAATACCGGACATCGGATGATGTGTCGGTTACAAATGCAGGTCAACGGATATCAAATTGGAGTGTCGATCATCGTCCTGGCCATGTCGTCTTCCAAGCTCTGCTTTCTGTCCGATGCATGCGCCTCGATGCAGTTAAGCAGCTAAAGGCACGTGGTATGTAGTCCATCCAGAAGACCAAGACGACGATGAAGAAGACGAAGGAAGAGATACGAGTAGAGAGAGTAGTAGTGTAGTAGCGCAAGGGGGCGAAATCCAGCCCATCTAAATGACACGGCGCTTCTTGGCCGTGTTCATGTACGGGCGCAGGACCCATTCGTTCTCGGCCTCCTTTTGCTCGAGCGTACCAAGCTTGATCTGGTAGAGCTGCAACTCGAAGCGAGGACCGCACTCTTGGAGTTCGACCTCGCGGCCCGTCTTCTTGAACACGTGGTGTCGGAACGAGAGAAAGTCGTCCGTGTTGGAGAACGTAATCACGCGCTTCGAGTCGGGTTTGGGCACGGGAAATAAATATTTCAAAATGTTGCCCACGCGTTGACCCTACCCACAGCATTTAAGATTTCGCCCATTTCGAGCAAGCAGTACCATGGACGTGTTGAACTTGTCGAGGATGATGTGCGGGTATGCCTCCGAGACCGTCGCGCGGTCCTCAATGTCGTGGCGCATGACGACGTTCTGGAGCGAAAAGTACGCAGTCGGGCCGTACGGCAAGTGGCAGACGACCAGACCATCTACATGGCCGCATCATGAGAATTGGAGCACAAAATCAGGCGTGGGTTCGAACCCGGCTCGCCGCGCGTCTCGGTAATCATGACCAGATCCGTAAACTCGTTGGCGCGCGCCGACTCGACAAGGTCGCCGATCGTGTGCGCACCGCGGTTGAGGCGCACAGCGTTGGGAAAGATGAGGCGGACTTCCTGCGCAAACTTTTTGAGGCGCGCGCTTGGGTCGCGCGACGTCGTGATCGCGATCTTCGGGTCAAACATGCCCGCGTTCTGGTACTCGTCGTCAATGTGCGACTTGGGCACAATGTGCTTGTCATCGTCGAACTCGAGCTCCTTGCGCAGGTCTTCCTCGACGCTGCGGAGCTCGGTCGGGATGGCCTTGCCGCCCTCGATGGCCTTCTTGAGCTGCACCTTGCGCTCATACTGGGCGCGCTCCTGGCCCTCGAGACCCTTGCGGTAGAGGTACTCGCGGCGCATGCGCACGTTGCGGCGGACGGACATGCTTGCTACGGTCGTCTTGTTAAGCACTTGTGGCCGGCCAATTCATTGGTCCGTGCGGAAATTCCATTTTCGCCGCTTTTCATTGGCGACTGGATCTGCATTTTGGCCAATAAAACACGTTCCACCAATGGTTCTAACTAATATATTGGTGGCGTTGGCGCTTTGAAAGCTCATTCGGCCTTGAAGATGACGGAAGCTGCCACGTTCCGCGATGATGTGCTCGAGAAGCCCGAGGTAGACACGCTGCATGGAGATGCGGCATGGAGATGGAGATGTCGTGGCGCCATGTAGGTCTTCTTCACGCCCTCGGACGACGTCGCGACGACGATTGCCCACTTTACAAAGTACCTCTTCGACCAAGGTAGATGATCCATATGCATGCTGCATCGAGATGCATGGCCGCATGATCCTAGGCAAGCAATGTCCTACGACGCCCAAGACGCCATTGGATACGCTCTACGTCGATGGCTTTGACGCCGACCAGATCTGGGAGCAACTCAAGTTGCAGGTGCAACCCATCCCATAATGCTGCAAGCATGGGCTCAACCTCGAGTAGAACGAACCTGTGGCCAAGGAAGTCGGCCGCTACGTCAAGCGCGTCGTAAAGAACCCGAAATCGGTCGTGCTCTTCCATGCGGGTGCGGACGACGACGAGCAAGCCGACGCCGATGAGGATATGGACAACGACGACGCCGACGGCAGCGAGAAGGACGACGGCGAGCTGTCGGTCGAAGACGAGCAGGACGACGACGACGACGAGGCCATGCACAGCGACGACGAGGACGATGAGGACGCTCCGAAGAAGAAGCGTGCGGCGCCGAAGAAGACGTCCAAGAAGCGCAAGCGCGTGCCGGATGCTGAAGGTGTCGAGGACGGCTTCTTCGACTGGGACGAGATGGAGAAGGCAGCCGAAGAGGTACGCTCTGCGACGAGGATTGCAGCATGGATGCTCATGCCGAATCTAGGAAGAGAACGAAGACTCTATGGACGACGAAGGCGAGGATCTCGAAGACGACGACGAGGACGACGAAGATGAGGACGAAGATGGCTTGTTTGAAGACGGCGCAGTGAACGAGAAGAAGGCAACATACAAGGATTTCTTTGAAGGCGACGACGAAGACGCCGATGGCGGCAACGACGACGATGAGGACGACGAGGAAGATGAGGTCGAGGACGCGGGGTCCGACGAGGACGAGGACGCGCCTACCTCCAACAAGCGCAAGGCGCTCACGGAGGACGAAGAAGAAGACCTCGCGGAGCGTGGCATTCTCTCGTCGCACCAGCGGCGGATGGCCAACTTGCACTCGCAGATCGAGTCGCTCGAAGAAGAGGCGCTCGGCGACAAGCCGTGGGCGCTCAAGGGCGAGGTCAAGGCCGCGGCCCGTCCCGAAAACAGTCTCCTCGAAGCCACGCTCGAGTACGACCGGCCGACGCGCGTCGCACCGACGATCACGGTCGAGGTGACGCAGGCGCTGGAAGAGATCATCAAGGAGCGCATCCGCGAAGACCAGTACGACGACGTGATCCGCAAGTTTGCAGTCAACGAGAACGCGCAGCGCGAGGTCGCGGACCTCAGCATGGAGAAGAGCAAGGAGGGCCTTGGCGAGATTTACGAGAAGGAGTACATGAAGAACGCGATGGGCTTTGAAGACAACTCGGACATGAAGAAGGAGCAGGAGGAGATCGAGGCCATGTTCCAAAAGCTCTGCTGGAAGCTCGACGCGCTCTCCAACTTTCACTTTACGCCCAAGCCTGTCGTGCGCGAGATGGCCGTGCAGTCGACGGCGCCTGCCATTTCCATGGAAGAGGTCCGACCCTCGATGCAACGAGTGGGCGGCTCATGGCAACCACGTGTGTGTCTAGGCGGTGCCGATCGGTGTCAGCGATGCCACCATGGCCGCGCCCGAAGAAGTCTACGACAAGAAGCGCAAGCGGTACGCGCTTCGATCTCCTCGAATGTGTGAGCTCATACGTGCATATATAGCGACGCGGTTGTCCGGTCCCGCGAGGAAATGTCGCAGGACGAGCGCAAGGCTGCTCGCAACGTACGCCTTGGTGATTTGTGGACGCTGGCACTGATCTCTCTCTCTATGATCTTAGGCCAAGAAGCACGCGCGCCGGAAAGAGCGGGCGCAAAAGGACGCGGACGAGCGCCTCGTGGCCAAGATCAACCCGGGCATGGGCAACAAGTACGAGAAGAAGAAGATGCTCGAAGGCCTCCAGGCCAAGAACGTCACTGCGGGCAAGGAGATCGAGGGCTCGACCCGGCAGTTCTCCAACTCGTCCGAGTTTTTCACCAAGCTCCAAGCGGACGCCAACAAGACGATCGACCAGCACCGGGCCGAGAAGGCCGCAGCCAAGAAGGCCGACGCCAAGTCGGCGTCGTTCTACAAGCTATAATTGCCATAATTCTACTCTATTCGCCTACACCCGCCACGTCCACCTGCGCCTTGTCAACGCCATATAGGTCCTTTGAGACGGTGTGAAAGTTGAAAGTTTGAAAGTTTGATATGTTGAAAATTTGAAGATCGGAATGTATCGAGTGGCTTTCAATAGATCGGCGGATCGGTCGCGCCAGACTTCCACTTGGTTATCCGAAAATCCTTGACGGTCGGGAGCTTCACGGGCGACGCAAACAACTGCGGGAGTCCGATCGTCGGGCAGCTCTCGGCCCGCAGCAGCTGGTGCTTGTCTTGCTTGGACTTTTGGTGCGCGAGCACGTGCTTCTGGAGCGAGTCGAGCGGGAGGGGCTTGACAAATACAGCGCTTTTCGTGGCACTTGTCTCGTGGCTGTTGAGCATCTTGCTATACTGGCGCTGCGCCTCCAAGAGCTCGTTCTTGGACTTGACGTGGCGCGGCGTGCGCACGTTGGCCGGGTCAACCCGGAACGCGACTTCTTTCGGGTCGACGAGGCACGCGGTGACGCCTTTGGACGACTTGAGGTCGAAGAGCCGCTCCTTTGCGCGCAATTTGTTCATGGTTTTGCTAAACAGACCCTTGTCGTTGGCGAGCAAGTGGGCAATCTACGCCAGTATTCAGCTTGATGACACTTGGTATTGTGCATCGTGTTACCTGGTCGTCCGACTTGCCCTTGTACGCGCCGTTGAATTTCCACATGTCGCCCGCATTGCGCCCGACAAACTCGCGTGCCATGAGCAGTCGGCCTTCGGCTTGAAGCTTGGCCTGCATCGCGACGCGCTCACCGGCATCAATGACGCCGTCGCCGTTCAGATCCGAGGCTGCCAGGTCATGGAGCGTCGACTGCTTGAGTTGCACGTGGAGTTGCATCTCGTAGTCGTCGATGACGCCGTCACCATCAATATCAATTGCGCCATAGTCGTTGGTAACCACCTGCTTGGTGTGGACCGCACGAGCATTGGTGTTATTGTCCTTGGACGGCACTTCGTCCAAGGCTTCGAGGTCCAGTTGCAGCGCATCGTCTTTTCAAACTGCGCGTACTTGGACGAGCCGGCTTGGAGCGCGGCGCGTGCTTGGAGCTGCGTCGGCGTCCGCAGTTTGCGCTGCGTATAGACCCACGTCTGTGGTCCGTTGTCGTCGTCGTCGTCGTTGCTATTGCTACTGTGACGCGGTAGCGCGGCTTCGAGCGCCGACGGCTCGCCGAGGCACGACCGGAGGTGCTGCGACGACCGGATCGTGCGCTGGCGCTCGACTGTCTCGAGGTACGGCATGAGCTTGGCAAAGTTCTTGTGCTCGGCAATGCACCGGACCGCCTCGTCGTTCGACTTGCCGGCAAAGACCGTGCCGTAGCGCCAAAGCTTGCCGTTGTTGCGGTCGATGAACTCGTGCGCGATCGTATATTTGCCGACGGCGACACGCATCGCATTGCGCTCCGCCTCGGTTGGCGCCTCTCCGGTGTGCTCCAGAGTCGATGTGATCTCGTGGAGGTACTTGGCCATGCGCATCTCGCGGACGTCAATGATGCCGTCGCCGTCAATGTCGGTGGCGACGACCGCAGACCGCTTCGCAGCGAGCGCCGCCTTGGCGTCGTTGGCGGCCTTGGCGCGGGCGTCCTTGCCGTGCACCAACTGCGGCGCGACTGGCAGCTCGTCCTTGGTCGAGAGGTATTTCCACCGGTCGCGCGTGTGGAGGTTCGTGGCGCCACCGGATGGCCGCCGCACGCGCCGCCCCGTCTTTCGCTTCTCGCCGCCGCCGCTGTGCATGGTGCGAAGTAATATATATGTAGGTTGCCGCCTAAATTTAGTCGAGCGTTCGAGCTCGAGACGCACCAACTGTCCACTGTCCACTTTGGTGCGTTGTTGGTCGTCATGGTAGCTAATAGCTAGCTCTTTATATTTATGAATATCTCGTCTACTCTACTCCATTGTCGACGAGGTTGTCAACGATGTAGCCTTGAACAAGAGCCGCCGTGACCGAGGCAACACAAGGTGCGTTGCGAGTCCTTATTACGGTATAAACGACATCGCGGCTCCATAAAAGACGGTCTTTTTACAAGAAATACGGAAATCCTACAGCGACGCTGATTGGCTGGCTATATATCCAGAAAGTGCAATTTCGCCGCTTGGTGGCAGCGCCCATCATGATGATGCTGGCGCGTGCTCGGGGCCTCCAGCAGCGCTGGCGCAGTAGCCTCTCGCCGGCGTACACCAAGCTGCTCGATATCGTACGCATCGAGCGCAACCTCCAGGCGCCGCGCTCCGATGTCACGTACCTTCCGACCAAGTACCAGGTTCCTTTTGACGACGCCTTACCATCGCACTCGCACGGACACACCATTGACGTCTCGGCGCTGCGGGGAAGTTTAAGTACGGTCGCATCCCGACTGATGTGGTTATCGCGCTAGACGAGCTCAAGTTTGTGTGGACGCCACATGAATTCAACTGGTCGCGCAACTTTGAGGCACTCGCGACACACGAAGCTGCATGGCAACGTGCTCGTCGCCCAGGACTTTGTTTTGCCAGACAACGACCCGCTATGGTCCAAGGATGCGTGGGGCTTTAAGCTCGGAATCTTTGTCTCGACTCTTCGGTCGGGAGGTCGTGACAAGTGCCCCGCGCCGCGCCGTGCTGGACTCGACGCTCTTGGTTTCGTCAGGGACTGGCTTGAAAAGAGCTGGAACCTCCGGATCCAAGCGCTCACCACGTACAAGGAGCTCCACGGTGACCTTATCGTGCCTCAGTCGTTTGTGGTTCCCGACGATGATGTCGCATGGCCGACCGAGATGCGCGGGATGCGCCTCGGCCTTGCCGTCAACTACATTCGCCACAGAGAAGAGGAATGTCCACTGGAGCGCAAGGCACAGCTCGACGCCCTTGGGTTTGAGAGGGACTGCCTCGAAGAGAACTGGAACTTTCGCATTGCCGCGCTCACCAAGTACAAGGAGCTCCACAGTGACCTTCTTGTGGCTGCTTTGTTTGCGGTTCCCAACAATGACGCTGCGTGGCCGAATGAGTTTTGGGGCATCAAAATCAGTAGTATGGCGTTGAACCTCCGCGGACGCGAATCTTTATGTCCACCCGAGCGCAAGGCCGAGCTGGACGCCCTCGGATTTCGCTGGAAGATCAAAAGCACTTGAAAGAAAAACGATAAAATGCCTTTTAAGTATCGACAGTGTTTGTCACTGTTGCGGTTTTGTCAACAATATTGTCTGCAAGAGAGGCACACATTGTCTGAACGCCAGCAGACGAACCTCGTGTGCTTCGCTACGACATACCACAAGATGTCGTGTCCACAAAAGCGAGACTCGGGGTACGCGGCGAATTTTCAAGGTGCGACGGCCCGCCCTCCATCATGCAGTGGTTGGCGGTCAAGTCCTCACATGGGTTTTCTATTGTGATGCAATCTGCGTCAGAAGATTGGTACCAAGGTCGTCCATTATGTCCGTGGCTTGATGGCGTGCAACAACTATACGACACGATTTCTCGAGCTCGCAGCTCGCGGCGTTCCTTCCAAGAGGATATGGCCGAGTGGGTTGGCAACGTTCGTCTGATCTTGGTCCACCGTGATCTCGGGCTTTATCACCGCTGCGGCTTCCCCGCGCCTCGTTTGACGTCGATCGTCGTCGTAGTCGCTTCTCTTTTTGTGCTTTCGACAAGAGCTGCTGTGACGCAGGCCGCGTCCAACGTACGTTGACGAAGCGCAGACCAGCAGACTGCGCACTGTGTTGAATGCAACCAAGGCTCTAGTCGGCAGCTCCCGGCGTTCAGAAAGCCCCGTCGAATGAGCTCCCCACGGCCAATCTCGTGTTGCAGACGTTCGCCATGAATACTACGAGCGCTGCTCTGCCACGGTCCCCAACGATCATGTATTCCTAACCTCCTAACCTTCTCCTCCTAACCTCCTACAGCTCAATCCGTCGACAGAAGACACGATGCTCTCTTCGTCGATCATCTTGGTGTTCCTCTTTGCTACGTCCAAAGACGCCTATTGCCTACTCCATCCCCTAGGTTAACACAGCCCAAGCTAGCCAGCCCCCTTGTGTGGTGAAATACCAATGGTGCATGCTAGAACCTCTTCAAGTGCACGGTTGACATCAGATCGCACCGAGTGGGACGCGCAGCACGGGTCTGCCATACGGTCTCGAGGTACATGTACAATACATCACCCGTACTACATTGTAGCTCACTCATACCATCAGCTTACATAGTCGCGTTCGATTCGCATGTGCATATTTCCTGACCCCAACCTCTCCAGATGAAGTGGTGGGAGCTTCCCGGTAACGTCTTTCATCTTGCTTCGCTGGTCGTTATTTCCTTGTCAGTTAGTTCTTATCCCTATATCATGGGCAACGCCGCCGCCGTCGCTGTTCCGATCGTCGTCGCCGTCGTCCTGATCTACGTCGTCATGACGCGCAGCGTCAAGATCGTCAAGGAGAAGGAAACGATGGTCATTGAGCGCCTCGGGCGCGTGCACATGGTGCTCTCACCCGGCTTCCACCTCATCCTTCCGTTCATCGACCGGCCTCGCACCCACGACCAAAAGTACATTGTCGAGGTCAGCGGGCGCTTGACGCTTGTCGACAAGGAGGGCTATGAGACGATTTCAACGCAAAACGAGGTGCTGGATTTTGCCAAGCAGCCCGTCATTACGCGCGACAACGCCGCCATCTTCCTCGACGCCGTCCTCCAATACTCGATCACGAGCCCGCGCACGTACATTTATACGGTCAAGAACCTCCCGCACCTCCTCAGCGTCCTTCTGCAAGCGCAAATCCGCAACGTGGCTGGGTCGCTCGACGTCGACCAGATCATTGAAGACACGGCGCAGATGGACCGCGTCTCGAGCCTCATGGACGCGGCGGCGGTCCAGTATGGCGTCAAGATCTCGATGGTCAAGATCCAACGCGTCGACGCGGGTCGACTCAGCCAAGTTCTCGCCGCGAAGAAGCAAGCGGATTTGAAAACAAGGAAATCTTCATCCAAGCCAAAGCGCTCAAGCAAACGACCGTCATCAACGCCGAGGGGAACCGCGACCGGATGATCAAAGAGGCCGAAGGCGAGGCGCAGCAGACCTTGTCGCGCGGTACCGCTCCTTCTAACAGTATTCACTAAGAACACATCTGTCTATCTAGCGCGCGGTGAAGCCCAAGCCATTGTCAACGCGGCCAACGCCGAAGCCCGCAGTATCAAGGAGGTTGGAATGTATCGATGTATCAATTTTTTTTCAAGGAGGCGGATCGTCATGTAGATTTCCAAAGTCGTCACGCGCAATGGCGAAGACCCGCTGCGGTACCTCTTGGCACTTAAATACATTGAGGTCATGCGGCAAATCCTGTCCCTCAAACACACAGAGGTAGCCGAGAAAAAGTGTCTCGTCGATGTAGACCCTAACCGCTGTGCAGGTTCAACTCATGCCCTTTGAAACCACGTTCTTGCAGACCATCAAGGGCTTTGGTCTCAACACTGTCGCCCCTTCACATACGTAGTTCGTCGACGACCACAAGAAAACGACTAGTACATAATTTGGTGTCCTTTCCCATCGATCATCAAGGACCACCCACTCTGGACTACCCCCGAGCATACCCCCATTACAATTCACCCAATCAAGTCAATCCGTACATTAAATCGGCATTCTGTGCACGTACAGCAGACAAGCTCAGGCGACTGTCGTCGTGTCGTCACGTGTCACGGTTGGGACTTGAAGCAAGGCGTGGACCTGCGCCTTGAGCACCGATGCAATCGAGAGCGCTTGCACTTGATCACGACTCGCTTGAACGAGGCTTGGCAGCTGCTGGAGCTCCTCCTCGAAGCTCGAGACGTTAAAGTCGATGCGGCGAGGCGTCTGCGCTGCGTGAACGACGGCCGGCACGTCGTCGTGCAGCACGTTGGCGTCATCCAGCAGCGATTTGACGCGTTTTAGTCGGGCGAAAAGGCCCGCGACGTTGTTCAAGGCGACATGTGACGCGTTGGAAAAGACGAGGTGGACAAGAACGCGGTGCGTCACGTCCAGCGGCGTCTGCAGCTGCACGTGCAGCGACAGCGTCGACGCGTCGTAGCGCCAGTGGTCGACAACCGCGCCGTCCGCGCCGAGGAGCTCGCCGTTGACGGCTACGGACGTTGGCGGAGAGACGTGACGGACCACCACCTCGTACGATCGCTGTTTGTGCATTGTCGGGAAGGACCCAGCGACGGGCTCGATGGCAATGACACCGAGAGTCGGAGTATCCATGCGATAGTTAAACGCGGTGAATGCATATTCGTTCGTGGTCAAATACGCATCCGAGTCACCACCGTCTTCGTAGACGGATCCAGAGCCGACCGGATAGCCGGGAACAACGACCAGCCGCATTACTTGCGGCAAACGCTGGGCCGCGCCGAGGCTCGAACCCGCGACCGACCCGTCAAGCGGCACGATACTGCCGGCGCGCAGAAACCTATCGACGCTGAGAACGTGCACGTGGCGATAGAATCCATGTACCGAGGCATATCGTTCAGCGTAAACTGCGCCGTGTACTTGGACGGACCACGCAGAAGTGCACCAAAGGTCTCGTCGAACCAGAGACCTGGTGGCACCCATACGTGCCGCGTCGCGGTCTGCGTCGATGCATTCAACGGGGATACAACCGGTGCAATCAAGTACGCAGAGCCAAAGAGGTACTGGTCCGTATGGTTGTACGCAGCTTCAAGGTCGGGCCACTCGAGGTAGAGTGCGTGGAGGAGCCCGACGCCGGATGCAAACGTCTCTCGCGCCTACACCTGATATAGTACTATCGCGTATCGAGATAGCGCACCGCCGTATAAATGTAGGACACGAGTTGTCGTCGGAGGGTCATAAACTCGTGCATGATTGCGTAGAACGGATCGGGGAATTTCCAAATGCGGCGGTCGGCATGGACATCCTACGTCCAAATGTGACGTTTGATTCAAGTAGCGTGGACCGACCTTTTTCGAGTGCGTACGAAAAATCGGAGAAAACGCACCCCACTGAATCCAGCGCGTGTACAGCTCGGGGTCGCTACCGTGGAGGAACCCGCCGAGGTCGTGGCTCCAGTAGCCAAAGCCCACGTTGGCCGCTGACGCAGTGAACGCAGGCTGGAACGCCAGCGACGCCCACGACGCCTCGACGTCCCCCGAAAAGCCCACAGGGTACCGGTGGCTGCCCAGGCCGCCGAACCGATGCAGCAGGAGCGGCCGCGTCTGGGACTGGGGCCAGTGGTATGGGTTCGTAAAGAAGACGTGGTTGAGCCACAGAGTCGGGCTCAAGCTCGCGCGGGCTTGGTCATGCGCAACGAACCAGTCTTCGCCCTGCTGCCAATCGAGCCACCAAAAGCTGATGCCATCGAGCTCATGGGGGCGCAAACTCAAGGTGAGCCATGCCGTCGCGAACGTCTGATTGGTCAAATCAAACGGGACGTAGCGCTGGCTCGATGGATCGATGCCCATGGCGGTCGCGACGGCCACATACGAGTCTTCCCATGGCTGGACACCGGACGCCGGGTGCAAATTAAGCGTCACGCGAAGGCCCTTGGCGTGCAGGTGCTGCAGAAACGACTTGGGCGACGGAAACAACTCCTTGTTCCACGTGAGCCTACCACCGCGTTTTAGATAGGGGTAGGGTAGGTGGTGGGGTACCCGGTCCAGCCTTTGGGCTGCTGGGCTTGGTCGAGCGTGTGGTTCTTGTAAAAGGTCAAGTGCCAATCCATATCGAGGACGATCGTATCGAGTGGAATGCGTCGCGATGCGTAGTCGGCAGCGAGGCCTTCGACTTCGACGTCGCTGTACGCCCACCAGCGCGAATAGAAGACCCCAAACGCATACCTAAGCGCCTATAAGAAATGAGAGGAACTCATCACGCGCACCGCGGTGGCAGCGGCACGTGTCCCGCGATCGCGGTAAACTCGCGCAGCGCGTCCTTGAACCGACGGCCATGGCCAAAGAAATACAAATCTTGGTACGACTGCGGGCTGTAGTAGCACACAAAGCCGTGCGGCAGCGGGTTCGCCTGCAAGAAATGATGCGGCAACGACGTAGAAGGAGGTAGCTTACGTTGTCAAAGCAGCAGCCGGCAGCGACACATTCGTCTTCCGAGGCAATGTTGGCGCCGCAGATGCGGCGCTCGTCCGGTGGAATGATTGCACACGCATGCCCTGGCGACGGCACGCTGACCTTGGGGACGAGCCACGGGTAGGTGGCGTTGCTGAGCTCGTAGCTGAGCGAGTCATCAAGCACGACGTAGCCACGCTTGCTGCCGACGCCGTACGTGCAGTGCGAGTCGGCAATGTAGTCGGGCCCACCGGCGTGGCAGTCAAGGTTGACCGACCCGTTGGTCATGTCGAGCGTCCGGATCGTGCCAGTCAAGCGACTCGTGTCATTGTCGGTCGCCGATGGGATCCACGTCGCGTTCTTGTGGCCAACAGCGAGAGCCGTCACGCGCAGATTGCCGTCGCCAAACGACGTGACCGAGCGCGGATCGTAGTGAAGTGCAATGTGCGACGTCGTGATCGTGAGCCAGCCGTCGTCGTCGTCGTCGACGCGAAACGACGGCACGGCGAGGCGTCGGTTGGTCACGACCATCGTCGCCCGGTCGCGAAAGCGGTTGGTGAGGCTCCACTCCATGCGAATCACCTGCGCCGTGAGTACCGTGAAGCGGGCGTGGCCGGCGAGGACGACGGCGGCAGGGTCCGCGACGGGGTCGGCCCCGAGCGAGGCCGGCGAACACCAGCGTCGCGAGAAGAGAAAGCAGCTGCGCCATTCGGGGCAAGAATCTCAATGACGGTATCTTTGGTTGAGGTTGGCGTCCGGTTGCCGGTCGTTCGCATCATCAAAGTGCAAATTCCAAGCGGATTGGATTTCATTTTCCTATCTGTATCTTACACTATTTACGGGGTGAACATCATGGGTCCCCGTGCACGGCAAGCGTCCTTGTGGACGGCACTGGAACTCTTTGGCTCGAGCCGTCAAGATACACCCACCCACATGACTAACCGACATGCGCGTGCTAGGCTAGAAGCGCAACAAGGCTCTTTGGCGTCTGTAAAGGGCTTTTGACTAGATTCAATATGACACTATTTCCGGAATTTCGAAGCAAACATGTCTAAATACTGTCATAAAGTACAGGCAGCGCGTATGCTGTCGGCATGCAGCATCGCCGGTACCGTGGCATGCTACACAGCCACCACGTCGCTAGGCTGGACAAGGTCTCTGCACCTCTATCGGCTGTCACGCGGTGCCCACGACCTGTCTGCTCTGTCACACTATTTCTTCTGTTTTCCAAGAGAAAGGCCGTGCTGTGACACGTGACGCTCGGAGCTTCGTCCCAAAGCCGCAGACGCCAAAAACAAAAACACGCCGACCGATGGAGCCGACGATCTTCGTGCGCAATGTGGCCGACGGCGACGTCACCCGCCACGCGCTATTGCTTCTCGAGTGCGAGTTCATGTGCGACTGGGACCTTCCGACGAACGTGCTCGCCGAAGTGCAGATCGGCGACGCGGCCACGTACTGGCCGGTCGCGCCGTCCGGTCGCTTCAAGGCGCTCGTGCATCTACCGCGCCTCGGCGCGCACGACATTGTCATCAACGTCGCCGAGTGCTACACGTTCCTCTCGGTCACATACGCATGTCCGGTTACGGACCACAAGATGCGCTTTTACTACCAGAAATGCGCCGGCGACGACGGGACGTTCGACGCGCCGCTTGGCGCCGACAACTCGGAGGCAATGGCGGTGGCCAAGATCAAGTTCAACGCGCTCCTGCTGCAGACGGCGATGGCGACTTTGCTTCCGGACCACGAGACGTTTGCGCTTGAGGTCGACGAGGACGGCCAGCCGATTGTCCACGTGATTGAAACCAGCTTTGGCCTCGCTGCCGCCCACGCCGCGACCGACCAAGAGCTCTACGCGCTCGTCGCCAAGGACATGGAGGCGCTCGGGTACCATCACTGCGTGAGCGGAACGCAATGGAAGCACGCAGTTCTCCTTGGCTGCGCGCGCTACAACCCATCGACGCGCAAGGCGGACGGGCACTTGGCGCTCGGCGGCAATGCGCACGCGATGTTTGGCGCCTGCGGACTGCACACGTGGGCGGCCCACGTCGGCGAAGTGTCGAGCAAGTTTCTGGATGCAACGCCCATCGATGCGTCGCGGCTGCTCGACGACAGCTGCCACCGCAAGACGCACTGGGCCAACTACGCGACGGGCCTTGGCGCGTTCTTGCACGAGCTCGGGCATGCGCTTGGGCTCGGCCATGCGGTCGACGGTATCATGGCCCGCGGCTTTGACAACCTCAACCGGCTTTTTTGCATTTTCGAGCCAACGCCATGCTTTCAAGGCGCTGTCTATACCCATGCATACGCTGACGGCAAGCTCATGCTGCACCAGCACCAGGTCGTCGAAGTGTCGGACGTCCAGGGCGCTCACTGGCACCGCGCGGACGTGCTGCGCCTGCGCACCTCCAAGTGGCTCGCGACGTCGCGTGTTCCTGAGGCCAATGGCGCGCCGGCGGTCAATTGGCGCCGGGACCTGCTCGGGCCCATTGGGTATGGCACCCACGACGGCCCTCTCACGCTCTTTGAGGCCACGGAGGAGACGGTCGCGGGCATTCTGATCACGTCGGCGGCGTACGTGGATCGAGTGGAGCAACTCTCGCCGTCGACGCTCAACGATTTGCTGCTCGCCGACCTCAGCGTCGGTGGCAACCAAGACTTGTTTGTGCTCCTCGACCACGAGTATATCTTGCGGGTGGACGTCCACGCGGTTGCTTGGGTCGACGGCCTCCGGTTCCACACCAACCTCCGCACGACGCGCATGTATGGCGGTGGCATGGGCATTGCGCCGCGGTCGCTTGTCGCGCCACCGGGACACTACATTGCGTCGCTCTTTGGGGCCCACGGCGACCACCATCTCGGTCGCATCGGTGCCGTCGTCCGCCGCCTGCCGTCGACCGAGCCGACGCTGCCACCGGCACCGACGACGGTCACGTCGGGGCTTTTGGCATCGGCGTTCTCGTCGTTGTTTGGCCCGACCGTGCACAGTCTCCCGGCGGTCGGCGACGGCGCCTACGACGGCGACCAAGACCCGTTTTCATTCAAAGACGGGCTTGGCGCGGTCGTGCTCACGTGTGCGACATATGTGACCAACCTCAAGTGTCTCTCGGTACCCGACGCGGCGGCGCACTTGGCCGACGGCTTGTACTGCAGCGACGACCAACACGTCTTTGCGCTCGTGCCGGGCGAGCACCTTGTTCAAGTTGACGTTCGGTCGGGCGCGTGGATCGATGCAATCCGGTTCGTCACCAACAAGCGTGTCACACCGTGGTATGGCGGCGACGGCGGCGTCTTCTCAACGCTTGTATGCCCACCCAAGCATGCGATCGTCGGGTTTTTCGGCTCGATTGGCGACAACTATGTCGGTACCTTGGGCGCCTACTACTTGGAGCTGCCGCCGATGACGTCGGTGCCGGCACCGACATCGGTCGTCGCACCGCTGGATGCACCCGTGTCGACACCGATCGGTGTTGTGATTGTCGCTTCGGCCACCGACGTCGAGCTCGTCGAGACGTTTGCATCGATGGCAGCTTACGCAGAACTCTGCGCCAAGCATCCGCAGCACGTTGTCTTTGTCCTTGCCGAGCACGATACGCTCGTGCAGGTCGACGTCTGTCGCCGGACGGCGTCACCGTCTCCGGCGTCGGTCTGCACTCGGCCCGCGTCGGCAGTGCGTGGTATGGCCACTTTGACGTGGCCTCGCTCGCCTATTTGAGCGCACCAAGCGCGTATCTCTCGCATGTGCGCATTGCCGGCGCCGACGTCTCGTACGAGTTTGCGGAAACGACGACGACGACGACGGCACCGGCGTTTCTCAACGACAGTACGACGGTAGTCGACGTTGGCGAGGCCAACGCCTGCCTCGACTCGCGTGTCGGTCTTGTCGCGGCGGTGGTCTGCCGCCACAACAATGGAGATGCGCTTGTCGACACGACGCTCGAGTGGTCGAACGTGTCGCTGGACACGGCCCCGCCGTCGACGTGGTATGTGTCGCGCGCCGTGGTGACGTTGTGTCTTCCGGACGCTGCGATGGCGCACGGACTGTTGGCGATTGATGCCGCCGGTGTCACCACGTATGCGCCCAGTGTTGCTTTCCCGTAAACTTTAATCGACGAGTCGATGCAGAGACCAAGTGCTGTTACGAGATTGCATTTTCATTATTCATCTATACCAATGACGGCTCTTGTCGATTTGATACGTTTTGTGGTTTGATTGTCGGTCGGGTCATGCAAGTAAGTCACCGCTTGATTGAAGCCATAGCACCTCGAGAAAAACATCTGCAGTACATGCAGAGTAGGATGCAGACCCACCCATGTCGACATCCGCATGGACACGACAATCTCACCGACCTTGCGCTGCCAGCCATCGACGACCACGTGGGAAGAATGCAAGGGAAGTCGGTTGTGTGTTAGTAGAATTAAGGAGCGCACGCGAGGTGTGCGAGCGCGCTTTGCTGCAGCAGCGCGAGCAAGTGTCTCGTTTCGTCCATCGAGAACGCCGTGTACACGCGATAGTGCTCGTCCGCGACCACGTCGGCCAGCTGCAGCGCATCCCGCGCCAGCGCCAGCGTCATCGTAGGGATGGCCGCCGCGGGGTAAAACTGCAGGCGCTCGACCTGCGCGAGCGTCTCCATTTGAACGCGGTGGGCAAAGAACACGAGCGAGGGCAGACAGCGCGCGCGGAGGACGTCGGCGTTGGCAACGCCGCAGTGCAGAAGCCAGCCGTGTTCAAAGTGCAGCACGTCGATGAGCGCGGCGAGAGCCACGGACGCCCGAAACAACAATGTCTTGACCTCGGCCTCCTCCTCCGAAAAGCAGCTCACGGCGCGCCGACTGCCGACCAGCGATCGCCACGCATCGTAGGCCTCGGTCGCCTCCACGTACGCCTTCCACGCCAAGTGTTCGCGGACGGCGCGGCGCAGGTCGTCGGCACGGTCGCCAAAGTCGACGCGGTGGAGGAGCGCGAGCGTGTCGGGAGGCAGCGCCGCGAGCAGCGGCGTCAAGCTCGACTGCTTGTCCTGAAGCACAAAGTACCGAGCGAGGGAATTGGCTTGCACGACGGCTTCGGCGCGGTGGCTTTCGTCGTAGCAGAGGATGTCGAGCGCACCGATGCGGTCGGCGTCCGAGGCGTGCGGCATCGTCATCATGGCTTCGGCCGCGGTCTTGGTGACGTGTGCAAACAGCGGCGGCGAGCAAAACGGCGCGATCGCTGCGAGGCACGCGTGCGACGGGACCGCCGTGACGCACTGCGCGTAGACTGCGGCGCGCGCGTCTTCCGGCAGCTGCGACGCGTAGAGCGCGACGAGCTTGAACTGCTTGTGCTGCACGAGGTGGCGCAGGTACGCCTTGAGCACCTTGTGGCCCGCGTCCACATCAAACACTTCGCCGGTCGTCTTCATAAAGAGCACGAAATGGGCGCCGAACCGGAGCAGCTGCGGTGACACGTCGTGCGTCGACGGACCGAGGTCCCACGAGAACAACATCTTGTCGTCCGTGTCCACAAGGCGGGCGAGGATGTCGCGGATGATGACGTCCACACGCGACGAGACGAGCTTGGCCTGGATGCGGCGGTGCGGATGGCTGGCTTGGTCCCGCACGGTCGCATTCGCGCTGCCCGACACATCGGCGAAGAGAGACTCCATGCTCGACACATACTGCCCGCCGACGGCCTTGGTCGTCGCCAAAAACGAACGGTACAGACGCAAATGGTCCTTGTTGAGCTCGAGCGCCAGCGTTGTCGACTGGGCCTTGAGCTCGAGCAGGTGCGAGATCGCATCGTCTTCGGCGTGCCCGACCGCCGCTTTTGTAAGCGCCCACACGTGGTCTTCCCACGACGCGCAGGTCGGCGACGACAACACGACGGTAGCGTTGCCGCTCAGGGCAGCGTATATGACACGCTCCAGCTCGCGCGCACGCAGGCTCGTCGTCTTGGCCATCGATGCATGGTCTGTGGCGTCCGCGAGCTGCCAGCACATGTGCTTCCACAAGATGCGGTACGGGTTGCCCCAGCGCGTGACGCCGTCGTCGCCTTCGCACGCGCCGTTGACTTCGCCGCCCGCGAGGCTTGCGGCGCGCCACGGCTGGCCAAGCTGGATGCAGAGGTCGGCGGCCTCGCGCGGCTTGCCGGCGCGGAGGAGGTGCCACACGCTCGTGAGCAAGTCGAGCTCGTCTTCGGCGTCGTCGTCGTCGACGTAGCTGTCGCCTTCGCGCAACGGCCCATCGGGGTCCATGGCGCAGACGACGCTCGCCCGGCGCTGGCGCTGGAGCTGCTTGAGCGTCCGCGCGTGCATGTGGCGCTTCTCGGTCGTCGCCACCACGTTCTCGGCCGCGACGGCTTCGAGCCACTTGAGGACGGTTTTTTGAAGCGCGTAGAGCTGGTTGCGGTTCTCTAGGGCTGCGATCGCGTCGAGCTCGGTCGACGCGGCCGTCAATGGCAGCTGCGACGACGTCTGCAGGACGCAGAGGTCGTCGTGCTTCTGAATGCTGAGATCGCGGAGCTCGTAGAGCAATCGCCACGTGTTGCGCTCGTTTTTGAGTTCGTTGAGAAGCACGCTCGGGTCGGGCTGCTTGTTTTGAAACGAGAAGCCATGCTGCAGGGAGAATGGCGCTGGCGCGGAGGAGGAGGACGAGGAAGACGAGACGCCGGCCTTGACGCGGGCCTCGATTTCATTCTGGAGGATCTCGACGTACTGCGAGAGCACTTGTTGGCAGAGCTGGTTGGGGTCCTCGACCATCTCGAGCTTGGTGTACAGCTGGTCGAGCGCGGTCGCAAACGCATCTTCTTCCGGACGCACCGAGTGCTCGATCCACGCCGCTCGATGCATCGTCGGGTTGTTGTACGTGTTGCTGTCGTCGCTCTGCGTCTCGTATGCGTTCGAGATGGACGAGATCGTCGCATGGTCGTACGGGCGCATGTTGGCCGTCGCCGACCGCGACGACGATGCGAGCTGCAAGTGGAGCGTTCCTTCGAGCGCGAGGCCGCAGTCCAAGAGAACCCAGTCGCTTGGCACCTCCTGGCCTTGGAAGAGACCCACAAAGCGCGGCGCATCCGACGGCTTGGGCGTGCTCTGGCGCTTGGCCCACGCCAGGTAGAGCACGTGGCCCACGGTCGTCGTCGCCGCGTCCACGTCCACATATTCGACGGACCGATCTGGGAACTGAACCTTGACATGCGCCATGCCCTGCTTGACCGACTTCTCGACCGACGCCGCCTCGAGCACGTCCAGGAGGGCGGCGGCCTTGGCCGCGCGGCTGACTTCGGGCCGCGTCGCCACGGGCTCGTACGACGTCATGTCCACGTCTTTGATGGTCGAGGCCTCATGGTGCTCCTCTTCTTCCTGCAGCTGCGCGAGGAAGGCCAGCGACGACTCGGCGGCGAGGATGAGTTCGCTCGTCCGCTGCGCCATTGCGTTTTCAGTGGCGTGGAGCAAATACAGCCTCGCCAATTTTATTAAATCATCCGGATAGAGTTCCGGATACTATCCATGGTATCCGGAATGGTGCGTGATGTGAGACATGGCGCGCCAGTTGAAGCCGAGCGAGCAAGACGCCAGTACGGGGTACCGGGTGACGCCTGAGCAAGGTGAAACCAATATAGCGATACAGCAATAGAGCAATATATGTACCTGGCAAATATGATCAATATCGTACAGGCCCCATGTCATTGCCCCTTCCAGCGCACAGCTCCAATCCATTCAACCAGAAGGCGTCGGTATCGAATCCAGGGTCTCATGGAAGGACACGCGCGCCGTCGACTTGCGCACATGCCTTGAAGCGGCTCGGCGACGAGGCTGTGAGTCACGGTAGTTGCAATGCGAGGTAGTACGAAAGTGCAGGCGCATCATCGACGTTGAGTTTGGTTCATGCTATGTAATTTGGTGGAGGTCAAACTCAACGCAGTTTTGCATCGAATGAATTGCAACAAAGCTCTAGAGCTCTGAAGCGGAGTCTTTGGACACATGGCTTTCGAAGTAACCCTCCCGCGTCGGCTACCGAGACGGACTATATACGCTTTTGTTTGTGAGATTGTTCCCACGACAGGCTCCATCCCTACACTTCAACGTCGTGCCCGCCAAACTGGTCGGCCACTTCAAGTTGCTTCGAAGGGTCCATCTATCTGTTTGGAATGCATCGGCAAACTGTATGCTGGCGGAAAAATACGCGCTCGTCTGCGTCGTTTGTCAGGCGATCTTTTTGGCGCCAAAAGTGAGCGTGCCGTCGACGAACGCTGGCTCTTCGCCGAAGAGTTGTACTATTCGAATAGCAGAGTCCGAGGCAACAATCTATATTGTGCGAATAGAGCAAAAACGGCTCGGAGGACATTATTGTGTTGCTGCATCAGCATGGACTACTCTGGGATCGAGTAGAGGAGCTTCCCGGCGGCGCTGCACGCCAAGTGCTCCACCTTTCGAATGTCGACGGTCGAGACAAACGACGGCAGCAACGAACGACAGACTTTCTCTGCCTCTTGCAAAGGCAGCGACGTCACGACGAGGAGCACGACCGTCTCGGGCGAAGCGTCGACGACGGGTACGAGGGCATCTGAGATCGCTGGGTGTTGCAAGACAGCGTCTTCAATCTCGTGCCGGGGTACAAAGACCGTAAAGTGGCCGGCGCGGCAGCGCACGGGCGCGCGGAGACGGTCGCCGACAAACACGTGGCCTTGGACCACGGCCCCGCCGTCCGACGTTTGGTAAAAGCCATCGGCACTAATGCGGACGAGCGTTTTCTGCTCGACGTAACCCGCACACTGCCACGGTGTCTGCACGACGAGCTCGCCGTCTTCGCCGTCCCGACACACCATCCCGGTGCTTGGCTTCTGCACGCGCACGAGCGCGCCGGGCCAGAGCGCACCGGCGTTTGGAAGACGTAGATGCGTCGGCGGTGCGACGCCGGGACGGATCCCACCGGCGGCAATCCCACCGGTCTCGGTCGACCCATAGTTTTGTACGAGGAAAAGGCCAAAGTCGCGGCGCAGCGCAGTGTGCATCTCGGTCGGCAAGGTCACGCCGGCGCTGTAGGCCAAGTCAGCAAACAAGGGCACGGGTTTCGAGCCCTGCAGCAGCGGCGCGTACGTGCCTGGGGTGCCAAAGACAATGGTCACGGCCGACGGTGCCGGCGTCGACAAGACGGGCACGAGCGCGTCCATGCGACTGCTCATAACGAGTGTCGACGTGTCACCATGCGCTGACGTCAGAATGGCAAAGAGCGCGTTGATCGCATATGCGTGGGCGATCGATGACGCGAGCACGAAGCGACATGGACGGGTGGGGAACATGGCGGCCTGCGTCGCGTCGCCCTGCGCATACATGCTCGGCCACGCGCATGCCACGACTTTGGACGTGCCTGTGCTGCCCGACGTGAGCATGCACACGCCGCCGTCGGATCCAAACGCCTCGCAAGGCCATTGTGGACGGTACGTCGTCGTCGTCGTCGTCGTCACAGTACCCACGGTCGCATCCACGACCAACGCTGCGCCCGTTTGGGCAATCGTGTACTCGAGCAAGTGCAGGCGCGACGCCGGCAAGAGGACCACGACGTGCTTGCTCTCGGCGGCTGCCACGATGGCGGCGGCGCTTGCGAGGTCGTTGCGGACGACCAGCACATACACGGGCGGCGAGGCACCGACGAGCCTCTCGAGGAGAGCTACGCCTGTGCGTAGCAGTGTCGCGCGCGCGTTTTCCACGATGACCGGGCAGTCGATGCATGTGCTTGGCGCCGACTCGAGCAGCGCCAGCCGGCCGTCGCGTCGGACGATCATGGGCGTTCGATCTCTTCTGATTGGTCGCCACTTTGCACTTGCATGTGATTGGTCGCTTTCGGAGGGTTAATGCAATTGGATCTTGCGACGATGGACCGTCGCGGCAGCAACAACCAGCGGCAACGGCCGCAGACAAGCCGCCTCAGCACCAAGAAGGAGGCCTACCGACTGCCCGAAACGACGGTACCTTCTGCACCCGTGGAACCGCTCGTCAAGCTCCGATTGCCGACGCTTCTTGCAAGTCCTGCAACGACCGATGGCCTCGGTGGTAGCTCGCCGCGCGTCGCCAAGCCGCCCGTGCGGTACACTACCCACTGCGCTGCCGTGGTACAATGGTAATGTGCGTAGTGCGAAATCTGCGACCATTACCCGACGACCACCGAGCTCGGGGCGGGTCGGTCCGAGGCCACCTGCGCAGGCCCACCGCATGCTCGCCGCTGCACCTCGCGCCATGAATGCAGAAGACGACCGCCGCCCGAATCAAGATTCACCCCATGACATTGCGACTGTCTGCAAGCCGCCCGAGACACAGCCATCTTCGCCATCACTGGATGCGTTCTTTAAAGCCCCCTGGTTCCGTGACCGGGAAGCGTACCGCCACATCGATGACGCCAATGGGCCTCTTCTGGCCAAGTCACTCTACCACGACGCTGCAATGTCGGGCGAACCTACCGTTGACGACACTGCTGCTTGGAGAGACTGCCACGTCCTCGCGTACACTCGCGAGGTAGTGCTATCCATCGACGCTATCCAGAATGCATCCGCAACTTCGATCTGTAGACTGGATGCTTTCGCATCCGATTTCTTGCGTCCGGCTTGGAAAAGCACGTGCACCGGGTCAACTTGATGCTTCCATCCGGTATCCGCATCATATTCCTGTCCCTTCCAAAGACAGTCCTTTCCGTAGACACCCCAATGACGTTCCTCCAGCAGCGAGCCATCTTTTTCCAGGAAAACGCCTTGATCCGGGACGTGTGCCGCGTCGCGTCATCACTCCGCGATACCATACCCGACGGTGCCTATGTGCTCGCACAGCACTGGAAGGAGCGCATTGTCCAGCGCGCGATCGGTGCCTTGCCGCGCCCCAAAGCTCTGCTGTCGACGCATGGCCGTCTCCTATCGTCGGCGCTGGCCACGGCTTGTGACGACTACGCCATGGCCATGCAGAAGACTTCGCGCATCTACCAACTTCAGCGAGAGCAATATCCCATTCTCGCAGCGTACGCAGCACTGGAAGCCACTCTTCGGACGCCGACGCCGGGTGAAATTGGCGAGCGGCATGCACCGTTTGCGGTGGCGCGGCAGCAGCTCCAAGCCGCGTACTTGTTTTCGCCACCGTGGACGCTGCCACTTTTGCGGCAAGTGCTCACCATGTCCTCCTCGATCTTGCAGCACGTCTCGTTCTTTTATGACATTCCCAGCGACTATGACGCGATCGCGTCACGCCCGCAGCCGCCGTTTTTGCTGCCCGACTACCTCTGCCTGCAGCACGCGACTATGGCCATTGCGCAAGAGACACTGCGTCTTGACTGGCGCAAGGCCATCATCCAGCTTATCCAGTGCTCGGTCGAGATTGCACCGAGAAAAGACCCGAGCGTGGTGCGCCGGTTTGTCAAGTATGTCGACTGTCTCCTCAGTCGAGACCTGACGGACCTGGTACGAGAGCGTATCGGCTCATCGCACACTGACGATATGGATGGCTAGATGGCGTCGTCGTCGTCGGGCTTTTGGCGCCTCCTTTTGGAGCCCCGGTGCACGCAGATCACGCGCCAAGCGTCCGAGATTCCCATGTCGACCATCCGGAAGCGCCACGTACCGCTGTACTACCGCCCGCGGCTCAAGCCGCCGATCCTCGCGCTGACGCTCGCATTGGTTGCTACATCCGGTCGCACGCGTACCGTGACGCTGCAGCCGTCACTGGACGAGGTCGAAGCCGCGATCGTCGAGCTCATTGGCACGACGACAACGTCTTTTTTACAGCAAGTGCGTATTGAGAGCGCGCTTGTGCCGCACGTCGCGCCCCTCCCGCTGCTCCACGCGGTGTGTCGCCGCCTCCACTATCGAAAATTAACTCGTCGACGGAGTAGGAACGAGCCGCCGAGGTGCAGAGTGCGATGGCCGAGACCACAAGCATCATGCGCCGTCTGTTTCTCGGGCCATTGGCGCTCGTCGAGCGGTACCAAGCGTTTGTGTTGGAGCTCGACACGCGCATGGCGCGTCTGCAATCGCTGCTCGGCACCGACCAGAGTGTCTTCTTGCCCGACGACAATTTTCAAATGGTTTTAGACCAACTGCAATGGTTTACATCGACGCTGACGACGGTGCGTACGGTCAATGTGTGTTATCACAGCCGTCATGGTCGAGTGGATCACATAGGTCGCCGTCTCGTCCTTTGACGACGAAGCTTTTGGGCTCCTGCAGGTCGACTCGCGGCACCTCAAACAGGTCCTACACTATTCTATCAAAACGATAGATTCCTTCAATCGAAAATGGGCTTAGGTGCTCTACGACCAAGTCCATGATGTGGTACAGACCACGCTGCACGCGTTGGCGGCCAACTGCCACATCTGCGAAGGCAGCATCACGGCAGCGTTCGAAGGGGATTTCAACAAACTCGCGACCGTCCCCAAGACCGAAGTGGACGTCGACGCGCAGTGCAACTACATCCACGACCTTCTACTCTCGGTGCACGAACGCCGGCTCGCCGTCAGCGCGATCGACGGCCGCCTCGACGCGATCGCGGGCCTCGGTGTGCGCGTGCACATTGCACTGCACAAGGCGATCTGGGCGCGGCACTGGACACTCCAGCAGTGGCCGCAACGGCTCCATGTCGCCGCCTTGCGAGCCAGCGAAATCGCCGACTGGAAAAAACTCCAGCTCATGGAAGGACTCGTGAAAGAGAAGCGTCGGTTCCAATTGGACATGAGCGCATTGCGCCACGACATGCATGACTTTATCGAGTCGGTGGTCTGGGCGCGCGAGAAGCTCGATGCGATCGCCGACCGCGCGCACAGCCTGTTGGAGCGCGCCGAGACCGCAGTCGCCCAAGTGCACGCGTTCATGGTGCGGGAGCGAGCGTTCGGAAGCCCGCTTTCCAAAGACATGGAAGTGACTACGCTCTTGTCGCACATCTCGCCGTACGCTCGGTTTTGGTCCATGGCCGCCGAGCTCGTTACCTCGACGCATGTCTGGAGCAAGACACCCTTTCACGTTCTCAACGGCGCCGACGTCATGGCCAAACTCGAGGTGTGGCGCGCGCAAATGGCAGGCGCGCGCTTTGAATTTCAAGCCAATCCTCGCATCATGGCGTCCCTCGACGCACTCGCGTCCGAGCTCGACGCCTTTAGCGTCGGTGCTCCCGTCGTCGCCATGGTCGCGTCCGGCAGCATGAAGCCGCGCCACTGGGTGCAAGTTGTCTCGCTTCTACCTCGACACCACGCCGTCACGGGCGTCGCCCAAGAAAAGCTGCTCTTTACGCTCGAAGACCTCGTCGACGACGGTATTCTCTCGGTGCTTTCGGCCACCGAGAGCGTGCACAAGACGGCGGTCGCGGAATTCGGTCTCGAAACAACCTTCGTGGGCCTGCGCCGGTCGTGGGCCCGGCCCCTCTTTGCACTGGAGCGGTATGCGCTCAAGGACACGTTTGTGATTACGAATTTCGCCGAGCTGCGCGCCGAAGTCGACGACCAGCGCCTAACGGTGCACGGGTTGGTGGCTTCGCCGCATGTGACGCCATTGCTCCACGAAGTATGCCTATGGCAAGACAAGCTCCACTTTGCCGCCGAGCTCTTGAAGCTCTGGCACGACGTCCAGTGCCGGTGGCGCGACGTCGAAGGCTTCTATTACCGCGTGACCGACACGGACATTGGCCGGGATGTCGCGACGATGGAGAAAATCTGGCGAAGTCTCTTGCACCTCGTGCGCGGCCAGCCAAGCGTCGCCCGCATGGTCGATTCCGACAACCTCAAGGTAGACGGCAAGGACGACACGTGTGAGGCTTATCTGCCGTGTAGGAGCCTCTGGAACGGTGCTGGCGCATCCTCGAGCACGCCACCAAGGCGATTACAGTTGTCTTGGAGTTGCAGCGAGACGCGTGTCCCAAGCTGTGGCTCCTCCCGAACGATACGCTTCGGGATCTTCTCGCGGCCAAAGACAGGAGCGCAATCGTGCGCTGCCTTCAAGGACTCTACGACGGTCTGTGCGACCTCGTGTCGAATACCGATGGCAGCATTGCGCACGTATGTCTGCACGGCAACGACGTTCTTCCTCTGGCGACACCGATACCGTGGCAGTGGCCCGTCGCGGAAGGCTGGTTTGAGCACCTCGGTGCGCAGCTCCAATGTCTCGACGTGGCGATCCACACGGCCGTTCGTGACGCGCTATCGGCAGCGTTTTCGGCCACCGACACCCTCGTCTCCGTCGCGTCGCTGCTTACGACGGCCCCGCTGCAAGTCGCCGTGGCGACATTGCACTTTGTGTGGACACGAGCTATGACGCGCGCCATCGACGCCGGTGAAGCCACGGACGACGTCCATCGCGCGCTCCAGACCGTGGCCAAGGAGATGATCCGAACCCTACGCACGTGTCCACTCAAGATGGCCGTGCTGCTCACCGACGTCAGCGCGCTCCTCAATGTCACAACCGACCTGAAAGGGGCACGACACAACGATTTCCAGTGGCAAGCTTATCCCAAGCACAAGCTCGATGCGTCCGGCGAGTATGTGCTCGAGGTGCTGCACACGTCGATGGCTTACCGCCACGCCATTGTGTGCCACCACCGCCCGCGAAGTGCATTTACGACCGAGAAGGCTGTCTTTGGCCTCTCTCTCGCGCTGCGCCATGGCCGCGGGTTACTCTTACAAGGCGACGGCGCCACCGACACGGCACGGGACCTCGCATGTCTTCTTGGCACGACACTTGCACTGCACACGGCTACGACGCCTAGTGCGTCGTCGTGGCGCCAACTCGGGCAACTGCTACTGGGCGCCGCAAGCACGGGAAGCTGGCTCTTCATCGCCAATTTGCACGCAGCCGCGGCATCGGTCGTCGGCAAGCTGACGCACGCCGTGCTGCAACAGGCGTTGGGTCGGCGCCTGTCGATCAACGGACGCACTGCCAACGTGCACCCGCAGTTCGTCTTGCTGGCGTCGGTGTCGGCACCGATGGCGACGGCAACGACACTCTCGGCGACCTTCGTGCCTTGCGCGCTCGTGCCCCTCGATGCACACGTGGCGACAAAGCGCGCGTTGTACGCCTGTGGGTTCCAGTACGCGACCCATTTGTTGGACCAAGAAGACGACTCACGTGTGGCCAACTAGGCACTACGAAGCACTGGGCGCTTGGATTGGCGCGTTCCGAAATGGCCTACGCGTTGAAAAGGTACGCGTCACCGAGCTACCGCTCGCGCCGTGGCGTCTCGCGCTAAGCGCTGCGTCTCACCGTGCTGCTGCATGCTCGAGTTCGTTGCTGCTCGAGGCCGAATGCGACGCTGTCATCGCTGCCGTTGAACGCACCGTGACGGCCCGACTCTCGATTGCGGGTGCGATTTTTCTAGGCGCATTGCTCGTTTGCATATTGAGTGCGCGGTTGTATAGACGCCTCCGCGGCCCAGCTGCTGCTGCGGCGCCTCGCGCCCGTGCCGTCCACTCCGAGTGACGGCGCTGTCGAGTACCATGCGAGCAAGATGGACCAGCTACAGCACACCACCTCGACCTTTCTCTGCTCGATCCTCTTTGGGGCACCCGCGGTGGGCAAGTCGACGTTGCTGGCTGCTGCCGCTGCCGACACGCGATGCGACATCGTTCGGCTGTATCCTGGCGAATCGCGCCTTCTCGAGCCGTTTTACAGCACCGGCCTCCAGCCTTCGTGGCTACACGAGGTCGTGACCACAGCGATTTCGACCGAGACGCGCTGGATCGTTCTCGACGGGCCCTGCGACGCGATGCTCCTCGACACGGTCGTGGCGTTTCTAGACGACTATCAACACGGACCACTGGAGGCCATCCCAGCGCATCAGGCGTGGCGCATTGTGCTGGAAACCGACGTCGTCGTCGGGCTCTCTCCGTTCACGGCGCCCTCCATCGGCCAGGTCCATCTCGATACCTCGGGCCTGAGCTGGCGCCACGTGCTCGACGCGTGGCTGCAACGACTGCCGTCGTCGATCGCCCGGTCGCACGGCAAGACGCTGCAAGATCTCGGGTTCTGGGTGTTTCCGCTCGCATGCACGCTGCTGCCGCCCAAGCACCCGATGGTCGTCGCGTCAGCTTCCACAATGGTGTCGCTTCTCTCGCTCGTCGATGCGCTCGTCGCGACTGGCGGCGGGTGGCCCTCGTCGTCGGCAACCGTTGCGCCGCTACTGGAAGGATGCTTTGTCTTTGGCTTGATTTGGTGCGTTGGTGCCACATTGGCGCCCGCCCAGAAAGAGACGTTTGGCCATTTACTGCGACGCGCGATCGTTGGCGATCTGCCGCAGCACTACCGTGTCCTTGCATCGCCGATACCGAGTCACAATGGCGTCTTTGACTACGTGTTTGATGTCGCCTTGGTGCGCTGGGTGCCGTGGCCGTCGGCGACACTCGTGGCAGGGGCGCCAGCATGGATTGGCGCTCTCGGCGCGGCGTCAGTACGCACTGCGTTCTTCACCACGGTATGGCGCCCGAGCTACCGCCCCATCCTGCTCACTGGAGCCTCGTGCAGCGGCAAGTCCCACCTCTTGCACCGCTACTACTGTCATTCCGACGGCTCCCACGACTACATTCCGTGCTATGGCTCCATGGACCACCTGAAACACCGCATCGCGTCCAAGCTCGGGTGGGTCCGTGAGCGCACGCTCGGCCACGTCAAAGGCCTCGACCACTACGTCGTCCTGGATGACTTGCACGTCGCCCGCACCGGCGTCGACTGCGTGCGCGAGCTCGTCGAGACGCAGCGGTGGCGGTTCGAGGCCGCAGACATTCGCCTCCGTCACGTCTGGTTTGTCGGTGCCATGCGTAGTAGCGACGACACACGCCTGTCGCGGCGGCTCCTTCGGCACTTTTTTGCTCTTGTGCTCGACCCCCCGACGCCCGACTCTGTCTTTGCCGTGTGTGCGACGTCGACGACGCCGGTGCTGTCGCCGTCGTTGCGCGATTCGGTGCTGCAGGCAACCACCGCGCTCTTGCTCGACGTCCTCGAGCACCCGGCGACACCAATGCTTGGCTGGAACGTGCTGCGAAAAGGACTCGACGTCCTTCGTATCATCGGCACGCTACCGCCATCGACATATGCAACGTTCGGGCTGAGCATGCTCTGGGCCCACGAAGTCTCCCGCGAGTTTGAAGACGCGCTTCGATCGGCCGCCGACGTTGCCCAGTTCCGAGCGAGCCTCGGCGCCGCCTTGGCCAGTGGTTTTGGCCCGGCGTCTGTCGCACAGCTCGAGTCGAGGAAGAGCTTGAATGGGCTGGTCTTTTGCCCCAACGCCCGCCAGCCGTGCCAATACGACGAGATCTACCACCCGCAGTATGTCGCCGAGTGTCTTGGCGCGTGGCGCCTCGCGTCCAAGTACCCGACCACGGTGTATGCGTCCAAAGCCACCGTTTCCTGCCTCGCCAAGCTCCTTCGCGTCCTCACGCTGCCCCTCCGCGCCGGGCCGTTTGCGTGCATCTTTTTACAGTACAAAGCGGGGAGGTACGATGCATCGCAGCAGGTGGCGGCTACCGTCCGCATGGCCAGCGCCATCGTCGGCCTCGAGTGGTACGAGGCGACGTGTACAACGGTCGGGGCGTCCGCAAGCCGCCGTCTCGTCTATGTACCGCCGTCGATCGACGCGCGTGCCGTCATCGCCACCGAGCTAGACGCGGTCCACCCGGGTGACACAACGGACGCGCGACAACCAAAAACCTTCTTCGTGCTTCCGATGCCATCGAACGGCGACGACGACGACGTCCGAACCTTGTACCCGATGCTACGCAGCGCGCCATGCCTCTTTGAACACGCCCATATCGTGTGGCTGAACGACGACGACGACGACGACGGTGACTGTTTTGACGGCAACGCTGCTGCCATTGTCGCACGGACGTCGCTGGCGCCGACCCTGTCCCGGCACGCCCGGTCCGAGGCGCTCCTAACGGTCTGCGGCGAGGTCCAAGCGCATGTCGAGCGCGCACTGCATCACGCGGGCGCGTCGACGCGCCTAGCGTCCATTTCCAAGTACACGTTTCCCGAGGTCGTCGAGACACTCTTGTCCGAGCACACGGCTCGGTGGCGTTGCAAAGAGCGTGTCTGGACGCAGGCGCAGGCTCAAGCGTCGGTCCTCACGAGCACGATCCACGCGCTAGCCACTCGTACGGAGCACCTCTTGATGGCGCTCGCAGATCTCGAAGCCCGGCGGACCGTGTGCATGGGCGACGTTGCGGCGTGGACGGCCGCGGCCCGGCAACTCGACGAGCACTATGACGCGCACGTGGTTAGCGCCAAGATTTCCGCCGAGGCCTGTGCGCGCAAACACGCAGAGCTCATAGCCGCGCTAGCGCCGTTCCACGCCAGCGCCACCGCGCGGGGAGCGGCCGTCCTCGACTTGCCGCGCGACGACAACCTCGACGAAGCCAAGCCGGCGCGGCTTCACGGCCATTGGAGCCAGCTCCACAGGGTGCTCCACGAGCTGTGTTTGCACGGTCGCGGGCGGCGGCGCCCCAGCAGCGATACACCGATCGATGGCCAAAGCGGCAGTGTCCGCGACCTCGTGCGGAACCTTCTGCACGTGTCGATCGAGCGCGTGGCGCAGAGTGCGGTTATCAGCGCGCGGCAATGGCGCCACTCGATCGCCGATGCAAAAGTGTTTCCAACGTTGCAAGTCGTCCTCGACTACCTCGATGCACTCTTGGCGTGGGCCAAAATCATGAACGACAAGCGGCGTGCGTCGACGCAGCTCGTCGACGACCGCCGCCGACTCGATGCGATGCAACAGGCGACGCCGCAGCATCGAGCCGCGCAGCTCGAGGTGCGCAACGCGCTTGGCATGGCCGGCGCCGATGTCGAAGCCCACGACGTCGAGATGCAAGCTGCGCAAGAGCAGCTGACCGCGCTCCGAGCCAAGCGCGCCTTCGAGGAGACCGTTCGCCGTCGCCTTGACGCGTCTACGGTGCGTATCCAGGACCAGTTGACATCGGTACCGGTCGTCCTCGGTACCCGCCTGCCCGGCGCGTGCATGGTGGCAGCCACGATCCGTGTGTATTTAGCATCGTGCAAAAGCTGTGTGCGGACATCGGTGCTCGAGTCTGTGACGCGCCTCCTCGCGACGCGTCACTTTGCCTGCTCGGTGGACGAGATGCTGCTGCTGGTCTATGAGGAGCGCACGCTACTGGCGCGCTGGCGTCTCCACGGCCTGCCACCAACGACTGCGTTTACGGCGGCGGCCTATGCGATCACGTCGAGTACAAAGCCGGTGCTGCTCATGGACGGCGATGGGGTCGGCAAAGCGTGGCTCACGTCCTTGTATGGAGACGCCCTTCTGGTTTGCGACGCTACTGAGACGAGCATCTCGCGGGCTACGATGCGCGCGCTGCAGACGCGCAAGCAGCTGTTCATTTGCAACGTTGAAGCCGACTTGCGCTTCATCCTCGATGCCTTCGCACACGCGAGAGGGCATGTGCAATTGGATGGCAAAATCCATACCGTCCACGCCGAGTGGTGCGTCTTTGTGCAGACTCCGTTTGTGGCACGACCGCAATGGCCCGAGGCCATCTACAACGCTATGGACGTCGTGGATGTTGGCTTGAGCCCGACGGACGCCCCCAGCTACTTTCAGTCGCTCGTTGCAACGCTCTGGGACGAAAGCGACCATCTTCGAGTCAAAACCAGCTGGGTCGCCTACTACGATGCACCCAGCATCGACGATGAGCTCACACCCGCTCTCGCCGCCAACGCATCGCTCGACGATGTCTGGCACCGGCTGCAAACGGACGAGGCGCCTGAGCCGCCGCCCGCGGGCTTGGCGGCGTCGACGAAATCGTACATGGAGAGTCTTCTTCCAACGCTTGTCTTTCTCTTTGACGCTTCGTACAATCTACGGGCGATCAATGGCAACTACGCCGTATCCTGGAGCCGCGCCTCGATCGCGCGGCTCGTCGAGTCGGCCAAGCACCGGTGGCAGGTCGACACGCTTCGCGCTGAAGAGACCAAGCGCGATCTGGTGTCGCTGGCACGCCCGGGCTTGATGCAGACGTTCACGAAGCGACAGCTACTCAAGCGCGCGCAGACACGCACCAAGCGGTTCCACGACAACACCGAGCCGCGTGAGCTGGCCGATCTCCACGCGCATGTGCTGCAGTACATTGCCGCCGTCGACGAAATCGTCTCGAACGAGCACGCGGTGACGTGGCGCTTCCTCCTCTCAATTGCGTCGGCGCGGCAGTTTGCGCCGTCCTTGGCCCTCTCGAACGACCTATTGAGTGCGATGGCGCGCATTTGGCGCGGCGAAGTGCCGTGGATCTCCAGCGCCGACGCGCTGCGCAAGCCGGTGCAGATGGAGAAACGGAATTGGGCGATCGTGCTGACGCTCTCCAAGTGCGACGGTTGGCGCGACGACTGGTCGCTACCGCCCGTGGACCTCGGTGCCAACTCGATGGACCTCGCGTGGCACCGCGTTGCCTTTGCCACGTGCTGTTATTCCCGAGACGAGCTCTGCGCTGCCATCACGCACTTTACATCGGTGGCGCTATCGCCGCATGCTCTCCCACCGTTGCCGCTGCCGCATACATCGACGCACACCGCCCTCCAAGCTGCGCTGGACGCGACGGACCGTAGTACACCCATCGTTCTCTTTGTCGATGCGGTGCCGTCGGCGGTGTTGACCCTACTGGAGCTTGGCACCACCCCATCGCTCGTGGCGGCGGACGACGCATCCGACGTCGTGCGGGATGGCCTCGCGACAGCTGCTGCCCAAGACCGCGGGGCACTCGTCTTGCTGCAGCACACGCCAAGGCGCCACCTACATTCGTGCAGCCTCGCGTGGCAGGAGCAGATGATGTGTGAGCAAGAGAAGGGTGGTGCGCATCACCGCCTCTGGCTCTTTGCGTCGATACGCGACCCGATAAGCGACGCCGTCGTATCGAGCCACGCCTACAAGCGCACGTTGCGACCACTGGATTCGCTGGCTGACACGCACCCGCCGACAACCGCCGACGACAACGACGATGCTCGGCTCGATAGGCGCCTTCGCCGTCTCCACGTTGCCCTCCTTGTACTTGACTCGTTGCGTCAACATCCCTCATGTCGTCTTTCTTCTAGCGGCAACAACACGTTTTCTTTGCCCCGACCGTCCCGTTCGACGACTCGACGCTGGCGATGGCCATGCGCGACGCACAAGCAGCACCGGTTACCACCCCTTTTGAGACCCGATTCGCCATCGCAGTTGCTGTCTACCGCAGCTACGTTCTGGATGCTGACCGAGTACAGTCGATCTGTGCATGGCTGGAGCGCATCGAGTGCGGCATCGAGGGGCCCGAGGTGCCAGCACCCGGTTTTCCGGTGTCCAGCGCGGGCTCTTGGAGGTGTATGGCGACACGCTGCAGCACGTGTGTCCGCCCCTCGAGCGCAATGACGAGGCCAGTGTCCAGGAGCTCCAGAGCCTCTCGCACGCGATCGCACTTCACTACACGTTCCATGATGTACTGAGTCTCGCGACGTGGCAAGAGCACCAGCAGACGCGGAGTCCGTGGACCAATTTCTTCTACACCGAAGTCACCGCTTTTGGTGTGCTGGTCACGGCCATGCAGCGGGATATCGCCGAGTATCTTGCAGACCTACCGTCGCACCGCTCGATTGTGCAGCCGTTGCTGGCGGGTTTTGATTTCCCCTTGTCCTGGCGGGTGCTACCGCGTCTCCAGCTCATCTCGATCGACGCCTTTCTCGCGCACATGAAGCAGCGACGCCAGTGTCTCGAGGTCTACAAGGACGGCAGCAACAACGCCGAGTTTTGGCTTCCTGCGTTCGCGCACCCCAAGCGACTCGTGGAGCTTCTTCTGTACCAGCACGTGCCCAAACGCGCGCGCTTCGTGCTCGGCGACGTGGTATCACGCGCCACGTCGACGGCCGATCGGTTTGCCCGTCGACTGCTCAAGAAGCCAACGACCGCCGAGACGCAGGCAGGCACGACGCTCACGGGCGTGCGCGCCTACAACGCCAGCTGGCACCCGACGGCTCGGCAGCTGGGCCGGCCCCTAGGCCTCGGAACCGCTTCGGACTTGCCGTCCATTTACGTCGTCTACGATGACGACGCGGGTAGAGAGGCGCATGTTGACCTCGTCGAGCTCCCCGTGCATCAGGTCGACAGCACCAAAGACCCGATCGTGTGCTCGGTCGTCTTGCGCGTCTTGGTGCCCCTGCCTGAGAACGCAACGGACCGGACGTGGCTCCTCGCACACTCGTTTCTCTATATCGGCTGACCGCCGGCTTTCGGCTTAAGTGTACCAGCCCTCCAGTTCGCATCCGAATGACATCCCGAGTTCACATCCTTTTTCCAGTGATGTTTTAGCGCCAAAAAAAGTCGCTTGCAAAGCGACGTTGACGAACGCGTATCCTCTCCGCAAGCATACAGTTTGCCAATACATTCCAAACAGATAGATGGACCCTTGGAAGCAACTGCAAGTGGCCGGCCAGTTTGGCGGGCGCGACGTCGAAGTGTTAAGATCGAGCCTGGAGACAATACACAAAAGCGTATACTAGTATAGTCCGCCTCGGGCGATCGCCTAGCCAGCAACATCATTCTTCCACCTACGTCATTTCGGTGGCCTCGCTGCATTGGCGTGACGCTTTCGTGTGAGCGCTCAGCGCCTGACGACAGAGACAGAGCCAAGCAAGGGAATGTAAAATTCCCTGGCCGCCATGTCTCGTTATACAACTCGTGTCGAGGTCATTCCAAAACTGTCTGTGCATGGAATGCTTGTGAAGATAATTTTGGTTGTATCCAATGGATAGATATATATCTCGCGATAGCACCCACAAACGGTTGAATTGACGCGGTGCCGAGTCCTGGAGCTACCGCGTGGCCACACTGCAGGCGCTCATCTCTGCGAAGCTGGACGTGTTTTGCTTGTGGATTGAGCCACCGCTTCGCAGCTACACAACGTGTCACCACGGGTAGAATCACGTCCGCATGCGCATCGAGAGAGCACGCTGCAGATCGTCGAGGCTACCAACAGACACTTCAAGTTGCGTTGGGCCAGCTTCGTATCCGGATGACCCATGGCATCCGGATAGTGTCCGCATAAAGAGTGGCGAGAAATCGATCGGCGCCAGGACAGGCAGCGGACAAGCATGGGGATCCTCGACAAGATCAAGGAGATTGGTGCGCCTTCGCTGGTAGACGACGCGGATATGGCTCATGCTGCATGCGCTCCTAGAGGATGAGATGAAGCGGACGCAGAAGAACAAGGCCACGGAAGGCCACCTTGGCCATCTCAAGGCCAAGCTCGCCAAGCTGCGCACGGAGCTGCTTGAAGGCGACAAGTCGAGCGGCGGCGGCGGCGAAGGTGCGCGCCCACGAAGCTCTTCCATGCCAACGATCGCATAGGGTTTGACGTGGCGAGGAGTGGCGACGGCCGCGTCGCGCTCATCGGGTTCCCGTCCGTCGGCAAGTCGACGCTCTTGAGTCAGCTCACCGACACCGAGTCCGAGACGAACGCCGTCGAGTTCACGACGCTAACGTGTATTCCCGGCAACCTCATGTACAACGACGTGCGCATCCAGGTAATGCTTCACTTGCTCTGCGCACCACCGTATGACCAACGTATATAGCTCCTCGATTTGCCCGGTATCATTGAAGGCGCTGCGCATGGCAAGGGTCGTGGTCGCGAAGTCATTGCTGTCTCCAAGTCGGCCGACATGATCCTCATGGTGCTCGATGCCGGGCGCGAGGAGGGCAACCGCCACCGCGCGATCCTCGAGAACGAACTCGAGACCGTCGGCCTGCGCTTGAACCGCAACCCGCCGGATATTTATTTCCGCAAGAAGGCCGGCGGTGGCATCTCCTTCAACGCGACCGTGCGCCTCACGCGCATGGGGGATGACCCGTACAAGACCGTCTACAAGATCTTGCACGAGTACCGGATCCACAACTGCGAGCTGCTCTTCCGCGAAGACGCGAGCGTCGACGATCTGATCGATGTCATTGAAGGCAATCGCAAGTACATCAAGTGCCTCTACGTCTACAACAAGATCGACGTCATCTCGATCGAAGACGTCGACCGCCTCGCGCGCAACCCGCACTCGGTCGTCATTGCCTGTGAACACAACGGCCGGCCCGCGGTATGTTGTCGCTTTTTCCAACGTACTATCAAGGTATCAATTGTCGGTCGCTTGTTGCGATAGCTCAACTTTGACCACTTGCTCGCGACCATGTGGAAGTACATGGGTCTCACGCGCGTCTACACCAAGCGCCGTGGCGAGGTATACGAGCGCTTCCTTCCCTAGTAGCTCACGCTTCGACAGCAACCCGAATTTGACGAACCCGTCGTCCTCTCGTCGGAACGCAAGGGCACGACGGTCAACGCCGCGTGCATGTCGGTACGCCGGTCATGTGTCTTGGTATCAAGGTATCAACGCGATGCTAGATTTCCAAAGACATGCTCGACAACTTCAACTATGCGCTCGTGTGGGGCGTGAGCACCAAGTACAACCCGCAACGCGTCGGGAAAGAGCATGTGCTCCTCGACGAAGATGTGCTGCAAGTCATCACCAAGACGGTCAACCAGCAAAAGCACGACAAGAACTACAACAAGAAGGTCCAGGCCCACTGGGACAAGTACAAGGCTAAGAAGAAGGCGCTCAAGACCTAAGCCATCCCCCATCCAAGGCCGAGCGAGAAAACAACGACTGTCTCCCAATATCGAGTGTTGCGACACGCTACTTTTTACAGTTTGAGCCACCCGGGGCGGCCCTTGGTTCTCGCGCCCGACGTCGTCGTCGTCGTCGTCGTCTTGGCGTCGGCCGTTGTCGACGAATTGGACGACGACGGCACGAGCGGCTGGCTCGACGGGTACAGTAGACGCGGCCGATCATCGTCGTCCTTGGACTCGGCGCCAACGTCATCGAGCTACAACGCATCAGAGGATGAGGATGAAGCCGAGACCGCGCGGGGACGAGATGTGCGTACAATGCCTTGGTTGAGGTACGCGCCGAGCTCGGTCGTTGGCGTCGGCGATGACGTCGTCCATCCGAGGAAAAGGTTGGACGCTGGCACCAGATTCAAGTCGATGAGCGACTTG